TTATAATGGTTATTATTCTTTAGGTTATGTTATTCGTGCATTACCCACGTGGATTATTTTTTGACAACTATGTCAGATCCACTACCATTACCACAAAAAAAATATTATAGACAACGTGCACATTCGAATCCTATAGCAGACCACTGCTTAGAATAGTATGTAATTATTTTCTATAAAGAAATATATATATATATTAAAATAAATATATATATATTAAAATAATTCTATATAAACATATTTCATTCTTTTCTTAAATGTAATTTCAGTCCTATTAAACCTGATTTAATGAATTGGAATTCATTATATCCATTTTATTTTCCATTTAACAAAGAATCTAAAGAGGATAATGATGCAAAGAAATGTGTTGAATTTGTAGATATTGGTTGTGGCTATGGAGGATTATTAGGTATAAAAATATTTTTTATTTTTTATTATATTATATTATTATATTATATTTTATTATCTCTTATCAATAAAATATTTATTTAGTTACATTATCACCAATGTTTCCTGATAATTTAATTCTTGGTATGGAGATTAGAGTAAAAGTTTCTGATTATGTTATGGATCGTATAGCTGCATTAAGATCACAATATCCTGGACAATATCAAAACATTGCATGTTTGAGAACTAATGCAATGAAGTATTTACCAAATTACTTTCAAAAAGGCCAGGTATAATAAAAATATAGCTATGTTTTTAAATCTATAATATTGATTATATTTTTAATTATTAATATATTTTTATAGTTGAAAAAGATGTTTTTCTTATATCCAGATCCACATTTTAAAAAATCTAAACACAAATGGAGAATTATAAATAAGACACTCTTGGCAGAATATGCTTATGTGTTAGCTGAAGATGTAATGTTTTATATAATATTATTTAAATACTTTTATTTTTTTTTTTTACATCAATAAATAATTATATAAATATCATTTTAAGGCCACTGTATACACAGTGACAGATGTTAAAGATTTACATGAATGGATAGTAAAACATTTTCAAGAACACCCATTATTTGATAATATTTCTAAAGAAGAATTGGTAAGTCTATGTTTTAAAAAGAATAAAATTTATAATTATGTTTTTAAATTATTTTTTTAAAGGATCAAGATCCCATTATTGAGAAATTATATGAAAGCACAGAAGAAGGTCAAAAAGTATCAAGAAATAAAGGAGATAAGTTTTTAGCTATCTTTAAACGTATTCCAGATCCATTTGAAAAAAAAATTAGTTGATATCAAATATATTATAAATGTCATATACTTGTAAATAAATGAAAATTTTTATAATCATATTATATTTTAGTATTTGCAAAAGATATTCTATATCCTGGTTTCATATGTTGTATATCTTCATCTTCATCATCTTCATCTAATAAAAAATTATAAATATTATTTAAACATATATTATCTTAATTATAACTCAAAAAATTGAAATTAATAAACTACCTTCTCTAAATTCAAATTTAAGATCTGTTCTTTTTTGTTTAGGTAACATTTTGAAATAGTTTCGATGCCGAACATCTTCATCAGGGATTAAATGATTAACATTTAAAGTGAATTCTTCATGAATTATATCAAATGACATCTATAAAATAATAATTGTCATTTATTTTTTGATAAAAAATTGATATATAAATAAAATTTATTTTCTTCTTTACTCGTTCTAGTATTGCTTCTATAATTTTTAATGGTGGTGATATATATGATCTTCGTGCTAATCTTTTTCGTTTTGAAATATCCATTGTGAATTGAGTATAATACAAATTTCTTACAGGGATTAAATTATTTTCAATTATTTTTATAAATCTTTTAGTATTAACAATATCCCTGAAAATTATTAATTTAACTTATTATATAGACTTATTATAAAAAAAAATTATTTTTAATAATTAATAATAATTAATCATAAAAATAATGAAAAAAAAAAATTTTACCATAATAAGTTTTCCAAAATAAGTGTTATTATATAGAGCTCTTTTTCATTTATAACATTATTATAATTTTTATTATCATCAAAATGAATTACACTTAAAGGAGTAGCTTTTAGTTCTCTTAATAATTTAACTTTTATATTTTCATCTTCCACAGAATATGTACAACAACGTACACTTAATGTTTTATAGTATTTATTTGGTTCATCAAGTATTTCAATCCATGGTTTCTATATAAAACATAATAATTATTTATAATAGAATTTATTATAAATAATATTTATTTTAACTAATTACTTACTGGTACATAAATGCCTTTTTCTGTAATAGTGAATTGTTCTTTTAATTCTTGACTTAAAATATTATGTTTAATGATGCTTCTTTGATATTCTCGTCTTTTACTAGCGTTAAAAAACATACATGGTATATGAAAATCGATTCGACCAGGATATCCTGAAGTTTCAATTCTAACTCTAAAACTTTGTACCGAACTTGGCTGCAATATACCTTTCCGAGGAAATATATCGACGCTCAATAGTCCTGGTATTTTTTGGCTATAAATATTTAAAAATTTAAAGAAAAATGAAAAAAAATTTTAGAAAATCTAAAAATTTAAGAAGTACCATTTCCATTTATAACCAAGTGCATCAAAATCTAAATTGTTATATATTAAAAGCATTCTAGTAACACTATTATGCATAGGTATATTCCATAAGTTCATGGAATCAACACTAAAATATATAGGAAATAGTGGAGTTTTACAAGCACAAAAAGCTGGTATTCTTCTCCAAATACTAACTAATTTAAAATCAAAAATTGATTGTCCTTGTAATGTCAATTCTTCTGTTTTATCACCCATAATTATTGGAAATATTATCTAAAAACATATATATTAATAATTTTTAAATTATCTAATTATTTAATTTATATTACCTTATATTCACCAAACATTCTTGGTTGAAACTTAAATATAAGAGGTATAGCTGTTCCACTTTTTATGATACCATCTTGTGTTAAACATGAAAAAATTTCACATTGATACTTCTCATTTAGTTTATGAATATTATTAGTATCTACGGAATATGGTAAATCCTTATTCGTAATATTAAATATCCACTGTGCCTAAAATATTATACTAATCTTTATTATTTTAATTTAAAATATTATTGAAAGATATATGAAATTATACCCTATAAAAAGGCTCTTTATTTCCAAAATAAACTTTTCCAAAATTTATTGATGGAGTACTTAAGAAATTACTTTGTGAATCATTTTCTGCTAAACAATCAATGGTCACATTAAAAATAATGTGACGATCATGTCCAATATTTAGATCCCAAGACATAATTGTTTTTCCAACTAATATGTAATGAATGTTCATACCAATCACAGTTTCTTCTTCTGGCTGCAAAATCAATGAATATTTTTTCTGAATCTATATTCAATTTAAGAGAATATCTTTTTAAATACTTTACAAATTAAAAAAATCATACTTTTAACATGTTCGATTTTATATATATATCACAAATATTTTTATGAATACAGTCAATTTCTATTCGCCGAGGAAAATAACCAATTGTTTTTATAATAGGTTTACAAGAACATTGTTTGATTTTTTTCATCTTTAGAGAAATAGGCAATGTTGAAGGATTAATTATTACCCATTTTAATAAAAGAGTTCCTTTATTTAGAGTCATTGGTAAAAGGTTGATATTTACAGTTTCTGTTTCTCCTGGTAGTAAATCTATTAGAATTTCATTTAATCTAAAAACAAGACAAATAAATAATCATATAATTTAATCAGTCATATAATCAATTTAAAAAAAGTCAATCAAAAAAATACTTGTTTATTTGTAATCGATTCCATAAAAATTGTTTGCTAATGTGTATTGAATAGTCTTGATTATATCCAAAGGCACATAAATTGTCTACCTAATGTATATATTATGTATATAAATATTGCAATTTTTAATCATTTCTATGATTGAATAAATTTTAATTTTACTTTTATTGTGGGCAAAATACACATGCAAGATACACTGCAAATTTCTATTGGATTGTATCTATTTACTAATATATCTGAACAAAAATTAATTCTTATTACATATTGAATTATAAATTCATAATATACTGCTGTGTGCGGAGTAATAGAAACTAAAATTTTTTTGGTTGATCCCGCAAATATAGTTTCTGATAAAGGATGTAATTTAACGTCTTTTTTAATATCTCCAAGTTCCCAATTACGATGAGTACAAATCAATGTATAATAAATATCTACTAAACTAGGATTAACAAGATCAAAAGACAATGTTTTAGTATTGTTATATTCTAACTCATCAAAATTTAATTTATTTGGATGTGCCTAAAATTTGAAATTATAAAAATAATTTCATATTAATTTCGTATCGATTTTTAAAGTTATTTTTACTTCTATACTATAATTTTTACTTCTAATAATCCCATTTCACTACTTCCACGAATACGTAGATTTACAAAGCTTTTTGACCCAATAGAAGCTCCATTTTTTATAACAATCAAAAGGCATTGTATTTCGAAATCATAATCTCTATTTATTTCATTTGGAGCAAACAAACATTCTTGATACAATGTATCATTTGCATCAATATTTCCATGCATAAATTGTACCTTAAATTCAGATGGTAACTTATAAAATTCATATCTGTAAATAAATATGTGAAATTATTATTATTATTTATTTAAAGATACTTTTATAGATCTTTTTAAATAAAAATATTAATTACTTTATTTGATGACGAGTAACATTTCTCATTCCCAGTTGTAAAAATTGTTGGCAACCTGGCAAAACTGATGGGAAACTTAATAAATTATTATTATTAAAAACAAGATTTGCATACTCTGCATATCCTTTAAAATCTATATAATTTTCATTTTTTGTATTCCCATTAAAATATATTGTCCATCTTTCTATATAAATTTGTTCATTTTTAGGTTTAGATGTCATTTCAACAATAATTATTTGATAATCTCTGTAATTAATTTAGTAATTAATAATCTCTAATTAAAACTAAATTTATTTAATAAATATATTAAATAAATTATTTGTCATACTGATAAATTACACCAAGCATTGGTTTTATAATGAAATGACTTGCTGATGGTGAAACAAATTGAAACATAAGAGGTAAATGACCAAATTTTTTAATCAGAAAAGTGGTATAAACTGGATATGGTGGTACACTTGGTGGCATTATTACTGTTTGAGGAATTTCATATTGTGGAATCCATCCACTTGATGTAATAGGAAAAGAATGACCTAAAACATACTTAAAGTTTTAAATATTTCATTGTAATTCATTATTATTTGAAACATTTCTAATTCATATTCAATTTTCAATGTAAATAAAAAATCTTAAACTCTGGCATAAAATATTTTTATTATAATATAATATCAAACCTATTACTGTCATTGATAAAACAAATGGGAAAGTAAAAAGTTTCTCTTGTTCCAAGAAAACAGAACAAATAATCTCTCTTCCAAAAAGATTATTTTTTATATTAGGATTAAATGTAAGTTCAAATAAAGCAGATTGATTCTTACGAAGTATCATTTCAGAAGGCGTTACATAAAAAATTCCATCAGTATCTATATAAGAAATAAATTAAAAAGTCAATGAACAAATTTAATTATGTATATAAATTTTTTCTTCCAGACATACCTTTTTCCCAGATAATTAATAAATTTGAATGGATATGATTTGTGAGACATATCGAGTGAGGTATTCTCTGAATAATATTTTCTACATCAACATCTACTTGACCAAAATTGAAATAATGCTTTGATAAAGATGCAGGAGGCAGATATTTTAGTGTATCAGTAGTATCTCTCATATATCCTTTAAAGCCATCTTTTTCCATCCAAGGATAAGGAATAGACTTTATAGTTTCTTTTTTAATAAATACTGAGTAACAATAACCATATAATTCTATAATAATTGGTTCCTATATTATAATCAAATTTATATATAAATGAATAAAAGAATAATTTTCTCCTAGATATTATAAATTTTGATTAAGTTTTTTTTATTTACTTGATATAAAATTAAAATAATCAAATAATATGTATATCTTCCTTCTTTTGGCGGTATAAATGTAATCGTAATATATTTGTAAGAATAAGCATTAATAACACCATATCTTGTGTCTAATTGAAAAATCCTATGTTTTTCGTCTATATTAAACATGAAAGTCGCTGCAACTTTAGAATCATTCGATAATTTAATTCGTTTTTTAACCTTAGAATTTTTATTTGTATTCATAAAGATTCTTTTTGTTGAAGAAATTACTTTAGGACCTTAAAATATGAAATATATAAAATTAGA